AAGTTAGCAAAGCACCTTATATCTAAAAAATACCAGAGCGACAAAATTATTTTTTCCACAACTAATTAACGGCAAATTCATGGGTATATGCGCCATTTTTTGCTTGATGTTGTTTCGCTAACTTTATACACATCCAAATAAAAGGGGCTGAACACTTTTTGCAGAGAACATATAACATTAATACAGTTGTTTTATTGAACTGCTGGCAGTTGTACTTAAGCCTAACTTTATAAGATTATACGCCAAATTAAAGGTATTTTTATGGTCTTTCCGATAATATAGTTAATTACGTATTTTTTTACGAAAAACATAAATTTTTATAAAAAATTGCCATAATTTCGTTTTTTTAATTTTTCTCAAAATATGTTTGCTTTATATAAATAGATATATATTGAATGGAAGGTCCTTCAATTGCCTTTCCAACTGTGTCCATATTTTGAAAATCGGTTCAATAGATTTTAAAATATAAGCTTTTGAAAATGTTGGAAATTCCACGTTTAGCCTCCCCTAGCGCCGCCCCTGTCAATTTTCACCAAAAAAAAACCAGCACCATTAAACTCAGCAGAAAGGGGTGCACCATGTTCACGTTTTCTTTTTTCTCTTGCTTGTTGCACAATAAAATAAATTAGACTTATTTTTCTTCTAAGAAATTTTCAGGTGGGTAGTACTACCCCACCGCCCCTGCTTGGCATTTCCAGTTGGCGTCAGTGGGCCCAGAAGATAAACGACTGGCGTGCTTTGTTGAACACGGCCAAAATCGCTTAGGCGGTTGCAGCGCTAAACAAGAAGAAGACTGTATATTGGAAGTGTGGACTATAGGTACGGTGACCATTCGTCCCGATTTTACGAAAATTGTTCCGCTGAATATTTTTTAAAATTCTAGACATTTAAGTGTCCAGATTTTTCATATTTGTACCGATTAACTGCCTGATTCTCTATCTCGAAGCGACCGTTCATCTCGTACAAACAGCCGTTTGTTCGTGTATTTGTATTACCTAATGGGCTGTTGTTGCTTATGGGCTGTTTTTGCTTACGCGTAAAAGCACATTTAGCGCATTTAGCTCTAAATGGTACTCCAAATGTACATTTATCCTTAAAAAATTCGTCACCTAAATGCAACTAAACGCAACTCCATTTTTGCATTAAGAATCTAAATGCTAAAAGCAACCCT